TCTTCTTGGATACTTCCTCCAGGAATCTCTCTACAAAAACCTCAAAGAAGTTGCTCCCATAGACAAGTTCACCTAGGTTTCTGATGTCCTTCAAATTGATTTTTTGAAACAATTTTGTCCACTTTCTAAATGCTCTCAATTGGGAAGTTGGTTCAAATCATCTTAACATTATAGCAGAAATCCCTTCCTGTTGAAACTATACAAGAACGCTTCTGAAAGATAAAGGTATATGAAAAGGGTATAGATAACAGGTAACATTTACAAGTAATCAAATTTGGCTTTTAAAAAATTCCACTTATGTTCACATAAAATGCTTGCATGCACAGATACATACCAATATTGGCATAATGTATAATCTTGGTATGATGATTAGTATATCCTATGCAAGAATATAAGTAACAGCAACTGGGATCATTGGAAGTCATCTTGGAAGAGGGCTTTAATTCTATAATAAAGTTTGATCTTTGATTAACAGTCTTTCTACATTTTGTATATAAGATTTCTCTTCTCCATGAAATTTTGGTATATGAATTCCTACTTTTGGGTTAAGGCTTTTCCATAGTCACTCCATTTGTATGTTTGGTGTGCATTCTTTTGATACCAGTTCACCTTAACATGTTCATAGGTCTCTCCAATATGAACATAAATGGATATGAGGCAAATAATCCTTTGGTGACCATCTCCCCAAATATTTCTCCATTGATTGCAGATATTGAGGTGTGACTTTAAGAATTTCCCATGATTACATTTTCTCCATCTGAATTCTCTGACATCCAGTAAAACTGAAGTCCTGCTCTCACAAATTATGTCTCTCCTATAAGATTCTCCAAAGGAACCTAAAATACTGTCTGGTCAGTGTGGTCTAAATATTGGAGAAATCATTCATGAATTGACTATCATGTCTTTTGGACTCATTATGGTTCCATAATTTTTATATTTTTTTTGTTAACTACAATGTCACTTCATTAATCTATGCTACAACTTACTGAAATCTTTACCTGGTAGTCATTAATATAGCATATGGAAATGCAATTACTAACCTCAAATACCTTAGTCCATCCTTTAGAATAGAAATAAAGCTGTGAAAACAATTCAGTACTGAAGTATATATCCATCTATCTTCTTTTAGATGCCTTGTTTCAATAATTTAGTTAAGTTTTTTTTTACAAACACTCCACATAGCTCTTTTTAACTTAGTACTTAAACCCAAAAAAGATAATTTACTTTGGGAAAAAAGTGATAGGAATAGAGAATATCATTCCTTGTAAAATTTTACTCCAATCTGTATTATTTTGAATTAATCTATCATTATTCCACAGATTAAAAAAATTAGAGAATTTAGTTATTACTAATAATCAATGCCAGGGATCAGTCAAGCATAGTTTGTGGGCCAAACTCAATTTTATTGGAACACATTCATGTTCATTCACTTCTGTATTGTTTATGGCTAATGGCAAAACTACAACAGCAGAGCTGAATAGTTCCATAATGATTGTATGACTTGCAAAGCATAATATACTTACTGTCCTTTCCCAGAACAAGTTTGCTAACTCCTGATCTATACCACAAAAATAATACTTAAAATGGACTTTAAGGTAATCCAACAGTCATTTTTTAATTAAAGTACTGGGTGAAACAGATTTTCATTTGTATTTTAAAAGTACATTGCTAATAGTTTCGCTCACTTCAAATACTATAATACCAAAACATTCACAACTATGTCTAATTACCAACAAATGTAAAATCTAGAAATGAAATTTCCAAGAAGTAAATCTGAGAAGATATCTAAAGACTATATTCTCTCAAATAATTAGTTTATAACTATTATGTTTTAAGATAGCTTTTTTAACAAATGGTGCTAGGAAAACTGGATATCCATATGTAGAAGAATGACACTAGACTCCTGTCTCTCACCCTACACAAAAGTCAAATCAAACTTTATCAAAGACTTAGGAATTAGGTAATATACTTTGCAATTGTTAAAAAAACATAGGATCAAAACTCCATCATATTCATGCAGGAACTGTCTTCCTTAACAAGACCACTAAGGCTCAAGAAGGAAAACCAGGAATCATTAAGTGGGATGGCATCAAATTAGAAATCTATGCACAGCAAAAGAAAATATTAAGAGCATGAGGAAATGCCTGCAGAAATGGGGAAAAAAAAAACCTCTGCTAGCTATTCCTCTGATAGGGGATTAATGTCCCTAAGAACTCAAAAAGGTTACCACCCAAAAAACAAATAACCCAATCAATAAATGGGCAAAAGAACTAAATAGACACTTCTCAAAAGAAACACAAATGGCCAAATACATGAAAAAATGTTTAACATCTAAATGCAGATCAAAACTATACTGTTTTATCTTACTCTAGTCAGAAAAGAATTATCAATGCAAATAATAAAAACTGGCAAGAATGTGGGGGGAAAAAATCACACATATACATTGTTGGGGGAATTCCAAATTAGTGTAACTGCTCTGGAAAGCAGTGTGAAGAGTCCTTAAAAAACTGGAAATGGAAATCAGACAGACCCAGCTTATTCCACTCCTTGGTATTTATCCAAAAGAATTAAAATCAGCATGCTACAGAGATATAGCCACAATGTTTATAGCAGCACAATTCACAACAGCCAAATTATGACACCAGCCCAGGTGACCATCAATAAATGAATGGACTAAAAATGAAGTATATATACAAAATAGAGTTTTACTTAGCCATAAAAAAGAATGGAATTAAGGCATTTGCTGGTAAACAGACGAAACTAGAAAAACCATGCTAAGTGAAAAAAGAATCAGAAAATCAAGGGTTCAATATTTTCACTCATGTGGAAAGCTAGAGCAAAATGAGAGTAGATATCATAAAGATATACAGATGATTAGTGAAGGAGTGAGAGAAGAGAGAGGAAGGAGAGATGGGCGAGGGGAGAAAATACAGAATGAATTCAACAAAATCATATTATGTGCATGTATAAGTATACCACAATGAATTCACCCTTTATGTAGATTGATAAAGCACTAACAAAAAACAAACAATTTCACTTGAACAGCAGAGGAAAAATGGAGGGAGGGAGAATTGGGAAATGTAGTAGAACCAGGGACTGAAATGGAATAAAGCAAATTCCATGAATGGATGATTTTGTTTAAAATGAACAACTACTATGTGTAACTATAATGCACTAATAAATGAAAAAAAAATCACCTCATCTATACACTTAAAAATGAGTTCTATACATATGACTGTGCTTGTTTCTGATTTCACTTATTATATGGAATTAAATATTATAATAATTCTGCTTCTTTAAACACATGAATTGAGGAAAATAAAACAAATAAAATAGAATACCAAGAATCTGGAGTAAAAGGAAACTAAGAGCCACACATGGAAAGTTGGTAAAATATTTTCAGAACTTACAGCAAGAATGTGGAAAACACTAAACAGGACAAAACATTCACAATTCAAGGACACAAGAAAAAATTATCTAATGAAGAATACAGACACAATTAAAACTAATTTGGGTGAATAGTGAAGTAATAAACAAAAGGTCAATTGCTAAACCTACATCATTCATACTGATATAAAACAATATAGAAATAAGTTTGAAAAATGTTAAAACTGAAAATTTAAACTACATATCTGGCAAACTATCAGGACTGAAGGACCATTATTAAATTGCTCAAAATAACTTTCCAGTTGAGAGAATAAAATCAAAACAGAAAGTCTACACTGTGGGAATAAATCAAGTAAAAATTCTTAAACAGCTAATTACAAAGTGCATATATTGCAGGTCTTAATACTCCTAATTACAGGTAAATATGACAAACCGTAACTTAAAATATTAATTTTAAGGGTAATATATTTATTAATAAAATGTTTTATTGACTATTGACTGGCTTTTCAAAAATCACTCCCACTGCCTTCGAAATTTCCACAGAACACTAACCTTATAACTTTTAATTAAGTTGTGAACAATATTAGATGTCATTGCTCTTCCTATCTTCTTCCTCCTGACAAAAATAAAAATAGCATGTTTATATGTAAGTGAACTGAATCATGCATGTAGAATGATGATGAGGTTCGAATGAATGGTGAAGATTCTCAAAGTTCACTAGTTAGACTTGAACTACTTTATAAAGACTAGTACTTGGATCATATCAAATGACAAGATGTTGGAATATGAGGTATTAATGCTTATAATCTTTTCAAGTATAAAACAATGCTACCATAAGAAAATGATTTTAAAGAGTAGCTTCTTCCCTTATTCAAACTTAGCAAATTTTATTTTCAGATATATGATCACCCAAAAGGCTAAGAATTTCAAGAATTTAAATACAATAAAAAACTAAACATATCCCAAATGTACTGAAACAAGAGAGAAGTTATGCAGCCTAAGAATTAAACTGCTTAACTAAAACAATTAAATTCAAGATAAATACAAAGATTCAAGTCAAACAGACCTCACCAGATCCATAGAATCTGACATCATACACTATTAAGGTTTGGCTTAATATTTCCAAACCACGAAAACAAAAATATTGTTATCCTTTAATTTTAACATCTCTGCCATAACTAGGATACACTTCAAAATATTTCCAGTGGCTCAAGAAAGTTTAGCCACAGCTCAAAATTCAGGTAACATTTGAATTTTAGAAATCTATACATAATCTCATTTCCCTGACCATTTTTAAAATCCAATTTTCATCTGTATACATGAATTTTAGATCTCCTTTTATGATACAGGGGAAGTGCAGTAATACATCTTCCTAATAAAAATTTCATATTAATGTCAATTTATTTTTCATATTTTACTTGAAAAAATTAGTTGATTTTTACCAAAAAAAATGGTAAAAATAGAGGCAACTATAACTTAGAATTACACAGCTTCTTAATGTTTTATTTATAGCACTCTTTGTACATCAGAAGCTTCACTGATACTTAATTTACTGCAGCATCCTCTGGGTGAAGCACAAAATTACATTAATTATAAACAAAGAAACAAACCACTTTGACTTTTTAAAATTATATATATATTTATATCCAGTTGACAAATAGCATCACAATTATTACTGTATAAAAAACTAAAATTCACCATGGAAGCTAAGGCCTAAGTTCTTATTCCAATCAATCCCTTTTTATCTAAGAGATATTAGAAATTAGATTCCAGTACCTCAAAACAAACAAACAAACAAACAAACAAAAAACAAAACCAAAAGGTCTACATTATTTACATTTGGTATGGAAAATAAAAGCTGCTTTTTGGCTAAGTTAGATTGCTGTTACCTACAGTATTTACATTGTAAATGTTAAGGGGGAAAAAAGTACTACTAAGTACCATTTCAAACAGAAATATGTTGTGTGTCTGGAATTTTGTTCTAAAATTATTTGTATATTCTAATAAGTATCCGTGAATAGTATCTGACTTCTAAAAAATCTACTGAAAGTTTGAAATAGAATACCACTATGCTTCTTTATATTGCTAATCTAGATACTGTTAAATCCAATATTGTAGTAACTGTTAAGCATTGAACTTTAAATGAAACAATGGCAACATGTGTAGGTGGAATTTTATTTCATATTTTAAAATATAATGCCTTATATTTACCCATAATAATGAGACTATCTACTATTCTTTAAATCCTTTAAGAAGTCTCATATATGATACGTCCCTAAACAGTGAAATCTTCTAGTAACTTACCAGAAGAAAGATTAATTTGTTATTTTGTCTTTAGAATTATTTTGCTAATATTTAAAAACATATCTAAACCCTTGGCAAAAACAAACACAATCAATTCAGTGTAACAGACTGAGCTTTAAACCGTACTTTAATTTTCAAAAACTGTAACCTACTGGTTGATTGAACCAAATGTAGAATATTTAAAATGACTCACTATGAAGTGAGTCAAATCAACAATAGAAATGCATAGAAAAGTAGAGATAAGATTTGGGAAAGGTGTAAGGGAGTTCATATGAAAAATGGTAAATGCTAATTTTAATAACAAAAATGATACTAAATGCAGATGAATGTTAAATTAACACAGTATAAAAGAGAATAGCTTAAATAAACTGGGATTCACATATTACAATAGCAAAGTTATGACAGAATGGACCAGACACGAACAGTTCTGAAAATTCTTTTCAGCCTACTTCCAATAGAAATAGTCAGGCTTTTTTCCTGTACATAGTTTGATGCTTTGTCTATACCATATATAGTAGAAAAATAAATTCTTTAGCAACCTAGAAACAGTTTATAAAACTCTTAAAGTTTAATTTTCTTTGCCAGACATGCCAATGTTAAACTGACAGCTATAAATTAAAGCTATATAGACAATAGGTATAAGTAATATAGAACAAGTTAAGAATACTACATTTACCGGATTTTTTTTTTTTAAAATTACTGTACTTTCTTAATTCCTGTGTGCTTTGCAATAGGAATAATAGGGACTTTGTTTTCTTAGAAAAGATAATAACATGTAAGAGTATAACACAAATAAGATAATTTATAATATACATGTACTTCAACAGCAGCCTGGTTCATGTCAACATCTTGGTTCTGAAGTTAAAATTGGAAGTACAATACCTAGGACATAACAGTTAGGAAAGAATATTTTAGAAAACAAATGGAGCAAATCAAACTCTTAGGAGCCTTGAATCTCAAAATCATCTATTTACTATCATACATGTAAGATAACCTTAAAATTCCAGTATGGATGAAGATTACAACATTGATCAAAAAAAATTTATTCTTTACTACATAAAATATGATGTAGCAATGAAATACAAACCATTTCCTTTTTTCAGGAAAAAAAAATGGCATGGTTTGATAATTAAAGAATTTTGAATAAAGCCTAACAAAATTTACCTGTGCCATCTATTCCAAAATTTTTTCCATAATTTAGTGCTCTGGTTGTATCTTCACTAACAAAATATTTAACCCCAAAAGCAGCAGTGATTTATAGCAACTCTGGTACCAACATGAAAGGAAAAAATTGGTTTAAAAAATGGTGTAAAAGCCATTTTGGATTTTAGTACAACACATCACAGAAAAGAATATGAATACAAGTTTGTAATTTTATATACACACACTCCAAGGAGTCTGTCAGTACCCAAAGTATTTTTATTGCTATATTAGCAATGGATTTTTTGGATATGTTTCTAAGGGCCACATAAAAATAGATTCAAGGAACAGATTAAATTGAAGTCCTAGATTAAAATGTTTGGTTTAAAGAATTTTCTACAACAAATTCCATGTTTATGAAAAGTTATATAACCTTATATGAAAATGTCATGAAGTATTTCTCTACACTATACTAAATGTATTCCCCAAGAGGGAAAAATTAAAATATCTAAAATATATTAGATTAAGATTACAAGACCATCATAGATCTTTTGAACATGCATCTGTTTACAGAATTAACCGTATACAAAATGTTTATTTCATTATGGACCATAAAGAAATGAGTTGGTGACAACTATCCTTTGCACAACATTATCAACTCACTTTAGCCACAAACATGTCCTTGGTATGTTCATAAAAGAAATAGGTTCATTTATCCCTCATCAAATCATCCACAGGTTTACTCAGAATTAATGATGAAGGTATAGAAATGTAAAATATGCTGTATAATTTTTCTTTCTTTTAAACAACATCCCAAGCATGGCATTAAGTAGCCTGAAATTAAGAAATATTTAACTGGGCTTTTAGTTATCTATGCAGACTGCTAGAATGTAAATTAAGTTGTCCAAATTAGCACATCAAATAACAAAACCAGCCATAAAGCAGGCTGAAAAGCATTATATGTTTCATATATGTGAGTTTTTAAATCAATTTCTATAGAAAAATTTTATTCACAATATAATGTGACAGAAATTGCCACAGGAATGATATACTGATTGCAATAAGGTTGCATGCAGCAGTAGCTTTGTATTTTATAGCTATTTTTGTTTATAAAAATTAAACCTCTCCAGTCATGCTTACCACATGGTCTTAGATTTGTAATGTAAGTGAATGAGGAATACCATACAGTTCAGAGAGAAAATGTCTCATCATTTTGAATGTGAATTATCTGTACGAAACATGAAGTATTCTACTGAACCCTGAAACATGCATGTGTAGATTTGCTTTTTTTCCAATTTCAGGCTGTCTGCAATCAATTTCTATTTATATAATACCAAGAGGATCCGTCTGTAATTGTGGTTGTATCAGCTGAGGTTGCAATGGTGGTGGTAACTGGAGGGGTACCATTGATTCAACCAACTGTCCTGGATTTGAAGGTGGTGGAGGAGCCACAGTGTTCCCAGTATCTACAATTTCTCCATTGTAAAAGAAAAACTGACACTGTTGAATGAATGTTTCAACAACAGATTGATGGATCTTAGTGGTAGACAGAAACTCTCGATTTTCAAAATCAGGTCTCATCAGGGTTGGCCAAAAACAGATGGATAAGTTGTCTGCTGTCATTAGGTTGATTTTATTTTGCTGACTAACCCTGAAATTATGAAAGGAAAAAACAGAAATCAGAACTCATGACAATTACAGAATCCTAGAGCTAGAAACTATCTCATATTAGTGTTACCTTTTATCCTAACATTGAATTTATGTATCTTTCTTCTTATTCAACTACATTTTGAAAAAGGAAATGAAAATAAAAATCCATATTGTGAGAATGTCAGACAGTCTTTTTAAAAAGTTGTGCCTTGGAAGCCTTCTTAATTTGTGTACATATGTGGGGAAACCCTAAATTCATAAGACAATTATGAGATTAAAAACAAACAAAACCCCACACATTCTTAAACTATTATGAGATTAAAAAATAACCAGGATATGCCATCTCTTTCAAATAGTTTTAGAAAAAATTTTTAATATAACCCAACCAAGAATATTTTGAACTTTCAAAACACTTTTTTTTTGCATTCCATAAAACATCCTTTCTTGGGGAAAAGTTGGAGGGTGGAGGGGCACTGAGGATTGAACTCCGGAGTGCTCTATCACTGAGTTACATCCCTAGCCCTTTTAAAAAAATTGTTTTTTTGAGACAGGGCCTCACTAAGTTGCTGAGGCTGGCCTCAAATTTATAATCCTCTTGCCTCAGGCTTCTGAGTGGCTGGAATGAGGGAGGTGTGTGCCACTATACATAGCTTCATAAAGCAATCTTTTAAATCCTTTAGTATATTGTTAGAAACATCATCTGAAAGACAACATTCAGTTCATGACACATTCTACCTTAAATTTTGTATGTGATTTAATAATTTACAAATGATCATATACAATATTAAGTCAATGGCATACAGTCCTTTAAATTTGGAGGCAAGCACTTCTATTATCTTTAATAAGCAAAAAATTTAAGAGGCAAATCTTGGGCTAGAACTCAAAATTATTCAACTGGGAAGGATCTTTGGAGTTAATCTAACTTTCCTAATTCATACATAAGAGTCCAGAAGCATGTAGGACAGGAGGAAAATCTTAAATATGAAAATAAAAATTCCTAAGATCTAAACCAAAAGAAACCCCAAAATAAAAGTTGTTCATCTGAGATAACATATGTGGTCAAATTATATATATATATATACTATAGATTATATATATATATATATATATATCCCTCCCCCCATGGTAAAACTCATTAGTATTTGTTGAAAGAGGCTTAAAATCAACCTTTTGTTAAAAGATGGTAGGTACAGCAGATCTAACATAACCCTCTCCTTACAGTACTGTACTCTTCAAAACAGGAAACTGCTAAGTATACTACAATACTGTGTATGTTGGTATGAGAGATTTGTGGAGAGGGTTATAAAAATAACATGGTATTTTTATGTAATAGGAAAGTGCTAGATTTGCTATTTTAGGTACCACTTTTTAGGAACAAGAGAGGCAGCCATGTCAAGATGTAATGACAAACTAGATACAAATTGATACTTTTATATCAATTTAACTAATTGCTATTAGTTAAAATACAGCAGAGTTTAGATTACCTATCTGGGAAAAGGAAGGGTGATGCAACTGAAGAAGTTAGAAGCACCTAGTGTTACAAGGTTTAGATTTGCTCCTAAGAAAATAAAAACGCTATTTAATCATAAGGGATCTTTACAGAAAGATGTTTTTAGAAAGATCTTTCTGGCATTAGGAGAAAGGAAAAATTAGTAAGGAAAGATGGCAGAGAAAGAGCTCAACTACAACTATGCTATAAGTCCCTACGTAAGAAATGTTAACTAAAGTAGTGGCAAAGGAAAGCAAATGGGGAAAAAAATAGAAAAAATCTCATCTGACACTTAGTGGATGTGGAGAGTCAAAGAGAATATAGCCAAACAATAATTCCGCAGATTAGTTTTTGTAACTTTTCAATCATCTCCTACCCATTTATTTTCTCCTTTACTAGAATGTAAGCTCCATGAAATATATAGCTATTTTATTTTGTTCACCAACATCCCTAGCACTTTGAGAGTACCTGGTACAAAGAAGACCTTATCCAATTATAGTCTAGTTGAACATTCATTTTAAAAATTTAAGTCTGATTGTGTTATTTCTCTGTTCTACTCTCTGGTGGGTCTCCATATCATTCAAGTTAAAAGAGAATGCATTCATGCAGTGCTTCTTTTATAAAAGAAGAGAGGCCTTTTCATTTCTTTTCTTAAAAGAAGAAAAAAATCAGCTAAACTCAATATGGTACTTAAATACAGGGTCTTGTTAAGTTGCTCGGGCTGACCTGAAACTTGCGATCCTCCTGCCTCAGGCTTCTGAGCTGCTAGGATTACAGGAGTATAGTAATTACATTTGATGCATTCATCTCTGTACCCAGCATTCCCTAATCTTTTAATTGAAGCTGTATTTTCATTTCAGTAAAATAGTATATATTCATAAAATACTCCTATACTTCATGTTAGTTAGGTAAAGTCTACTCAGTATCCATTTACACTGTTATCATTCTGCCAAACTCTCCTTACAGTACTGTACTCTTCAAAACAGGAAACTGCTAAGTATACTACAATACTATGTATGTTGGTATGAGAGATTTGTGGAGAGGGTTATAAGAAATGTTCATATAATTTGGTACTACACATTTATAGCAATAATAAACTTTAAACTTCTTTTAAGAAGTACAGAGTAAAATACACTTTGTATAGACCTTGATACTATTTAGTTTTTAAAAAAACAAACAAAACCCAAACTCCGCAGTTACTGACTAACTGCAGTGCTAAGGATCAAACCCAGGGCTTCACACATGCTAGGCAAATGCTCTACCATTGACCTACACCCCTAGCCCTGCAGTTAATAAAAATACCAGTAGAAAACACCATGAAGAGTAAACACAGCTATTAGTATAAAAACTAACAATCCCATTCAGTCCTCAGAACAACTTTGTAAAATGTTATTTTTCTCACTTTACAGTTGAGAAAATCAAGACTTAGCAAGAAAAAGTAATTTCCCCCAAGGTCACAGAACCAGAAATATTTCACACTGACGTCCATTTGATTCTACAGATTAAGCTTTTAATTATTAACACATTATTACCTTTTAGTTAATGAATGCTTTTTGAGAATATCATCTTTTCAGAAAAAAGCAAAAGCTTGAAGCTATGATAAATGTTAATATTTAGGCATAGAAATGTAAGGATTAGTGCCCGGCATTTCAAGTAACAGGATAATTTGTGATAAAATTTCACTGTGTGGGTGGGTGTCGTGGTACATGCCTGTAATAGCAGCAGATCAGGAGGCTGAGTCAGGAGGATCTCAAGTTCAAAGTCAGCTTCAGCAGCTTAGTGAGGCCCTAAGCAACTTAGTAAGACCCTGTCCCTGTCTCAAAATTAAAAAAAAAAAAAAAAAAAATAACAAAAAGGGCTAAGGATGTGGCTCAGTGGTTAAGGGCCCCTGGGTTCAATCCCCAGTACAAAAGAAAAGAACCACCGTATGGAATATTTAAAATAAGAAAGATATAAAACACCAATATAGTATAGTAGAAGAAGCAAATCAAACCTCTTAAGAATTAGATTCTGGGCATAAAATGTGTCACTTATTAAAATGTTTTATGATTTGGGGATTATAATTTCCTTCTTTAAGCCTCAATTTTTCCAAATCCAAATAGGGTGATTTGATTAATTATATGAGGGTCATTTTACAAATAAAATCATAATTTATCCAAACTACAAAGAATAAGCAGGATAAAAAGAAAATATACTGATCATACTTGGTATTTATGTTATTATTTCATGTACAAAAATAACCATATAGTTTTAGAGATAAATAGGAAAATATAAATTAGACAACCATTATAGAAAAACCAATCATGTTTAGTTTGCATTCCTTTAATGAAATTTACAATTATCCAATTTATAAAGTTTACATTTTTTAAATGGATAGTGAATTTTATTTGCAAAAACAAAGCAAAAATACCTGTTTAGATGTGTTATTACATATCTGAATACATCATAGTTTACAGGATGAAATTTCTTAACAATTTCTTTCAAGGCATGAAGACGTTCTGCTTTTTCTGGGATTTCTGTAAGGGTAGTAAAAATTTTGTGTGAAACCCACATACTTAAAAAAACAATTAAGAATGTGTTTGAAACATATTAGGATAGGTAAACAACAACAAAAAGTAATTAAGAATCTGCTAAATTATCTAAATTAAGAAATTAATTTGACTGACATTATCTATACTGCAATAGCCTTCTTATAAGTAAAGCTATTCATCAAAGATCAGAGTGACTCAGCACTGATAATATTGGAAATGGTATATTAGCAATTTACCCAGGCAATTTATATAATTAGATACTGATTTAAAGTTTACTAATTCCTTATAAATCTTCTGGCCTCTTAAAATTAATGCTACAGATAGTAAGTAAATATATCAGGCTTTGTGGGTACAACTATTCAAAGTTGCAGGAGAAGCACAAAAGCAGTAATAAATGATATAACGAATGTTGGCTATCTTCCAATAAACTTTTGAAATTTGAATTATGCATAACTTTAACATGTAATGAGATTTTCTCTTTCTTTTGTTGTAATATTCTGAAAATGGCCCCTGGGTCATAGTTGTCTATACACACTTACTCATAATCTACTTATTAAAAATTGTCATTTATAGGCAGTATAAGCATTTTAAGATAATTACTCTTCAAAAAATATGTAAATTATAAAATAGGGTAACTCAAATGTGGTCCTGTGAAAACTGAGAGATAAAGAGATTGCTTTCGTTTTCTTCTTTCATTTTGGAGGCCATTGTGCATGCTATATCATAATAACTAACAAATACTAACAAATTCTCATGTGTCACATTTTACCTCTGATCCAGCTCTTGAAAATGTCCTTAAGTAGAAAAGTTATGGTCAAGAAATAAGATTTAAGCTATCAGCTGAACCCCTTTCTTAGTTTACAAGCTACACATGTGCATGTATAGGGCAACTATATTTTTTTGAGAATATACCAAAGTGGTTTTTAATTCCTTAAAAAAAGTTTTAATATAATCAAAACTATAATGAAGTAGTAAAAGAACTTGAAAACTACTAATAAAAAGAAAATGTTAAAAAGAAATATAAAGACAAATTTAGTTGTTAATGTAAATCAAGCAGGTTACTTGATGCCCAAAATGATGCCTTACTTTCCAGATAAGCGAGTATCTGCTTACTGGAAACATCTGAATGATTTATATCAAAGTAGGAATTAAGTATCTCATGTTTCTGCCTTACCTTTTCCAAAAACTTAATATTTGAAGCCAAAGTTAATTTCCTTCATTTAAAAAAATGTTTAAATATGTGCAGACTCTACACAGGTTAAGATTTTAATGAAGTACATTACATATCCATTCATTTGAAGTATTTAATATTGTTATAGTGCTTCTGGAGTTTGAATTAAAAATATAAACCACAATAGCATTTAAGTCATCTGGGAGGCTAACTAAAACTGAATATTCTTGGGGGCCACCCCTGGGGATCCTGATTTTATTTCAGTTTAGAGGAAAACATCTTTAAGAAACAGAGTTCTAGTAAGATGAACTTTTATAGCTATATATTTGAGTGTATGACTTGATTTTTTAATATTTAGCAATCAATACCTGAAAACTGACATCAGCAACTTTCTCCCAAAAGGGTGTGTGTGTGTGTGTGTGTGTGTGTGTGTGTGTAGGTAGAAATTTATACTTACTTGCTGCTTCCAATAGCTCTGGATGAAGAGAATATGGAATTAAAGGATCTGGAAGATCTGCAAAAAAAGCTTTAAGAGCTCCAGCTACAGCATTTACTGTTACTTCCATTGAGACTAGATTGATATTATGATCTATAAAACAAAAATTAAAATTTTAACTGATTATAGAAGAATAAGCTAAAAAGATACTTTGAGATCAGAAGATATTAAAACTTCTTATTAGCCACTTTTCTTTAGAGACTGAAAAACTGTATAGATAAGGGAAAAGAGAACCAAGCAAGAAGCTCTTTCTGTTAACAATAAAAAATGCTGTTAGGTTTATTATATTGAAGAACTTTACTAATTCTTAGAGGAATTATGTAAATAAATTATAACTTGAATTTTTTAACTTGTTTTGAAAGGTTAATTATGTAACAAGTTTTTAAAATGAGAAAATATAGAACAGCAAAAAAGAAAATAATTACCCCCATCACCTAGAAACAATAATTGCTTATGCTTTTAGCCATGTTCCCTTTCAGCCCTTTTCTGCTCATTAAGAACAAACAAACAACAGCCTAAACATCTGTCCATTTTATATTTGATTTCATTTTTAAAACACTACTAAAGGTTATTAAAATTTCATGCAACTTTTTAAAACATTTTGTTTTCTCTGGGTAACATTTAATTGTCATAATTTCAAATCTGCACAAGTTTTCAGAATAGTTCTAAGATATCAAACATATCCTTAACCCAGAATCTCTTAACTTAGAATCTCCAACTGTTAACATTTTGCTCTACATAAACAAGTTTAATGTCTACAAGATGCTCTGTTTCATGTATAAAAACTTACTTCCTTAGTCTACATTCATTGGGTAATAATAGCTACCCAATGAACACACAGAAAATTCTTCACACACATTATTTTCATGCTCACTCTTGACACCTAAACTAGAGATGAGGAAACCGAAATTTAGAAAGATTAAGTTTAATAGAGCACAAAGATAGTAAGTGGTAAGACTAGAAAACAAAACCATGAAATTAAATCTAAGAGCCTTGGTATTAACTACTAGCCTGCCTTCATTATTAGAAATGAAATTTTACCAATTTGATATTATAAAGTCTAAACAGGTTCTCCATAATATTTTTTTTAATGGAATAATATATATAATAATCTTTGGCAAATCATGTATTTTTTGTACACATACATGCCACTCAACAACTGATATCTTGCAATTTTAACAATCAATTATTTTACATGGCTATTAAGTATTCTACGCTTATAGAGACACCAGTGGTTCCCCAGTTCCTTTTTTTTTTTTTTTTAAAAAAAAAAACTACCAGGGATTGAACCTAGTGCCTCACACATACTAGACCAAATGCTCTGAGCTATATTCCAACCTATAGTTGCCCAGGCTGGCCTCAAACTGGCTATTCTTCTGATTAAACACTGGGGATTATAGACATGTACCACCACTCCTTGTACCCTACCATTTTTCTTTTTAATTACAAAAAATGCTGCAACAAATGCCCTGGTATGTTTGTGCAAAAGCTTCTGTAACATCAGCTGCTAAATGTAGAATTTCTCTAGTAAAGCTACCTGCTTTTTAATAGATATTCACAATTTTCCCTTAAAAGGCACCCACAATCAACAGTGCACTTGATACTTGATTGCCCACACTATATCAAATAGTCTTCCACTCTGATAATATAAACTTTCAATAATTTTTTTCTTTTATCATTGATAGAAGCTAAGCATATATTCAAGTATTTACTGGTGACTTTCTTCTGATATAAATTGCTTCACCTAGCATTGGTATTACAATACCATCATTAAGATTATACTTTGTCTTCGGGTTTTACATTTTTATTTTGCTTGTGGTGCTGGGGATTAAAGAGTGGTTCTCTACCATTAAGAAGCATCCCTATTCATTCATTATTTTGAGACAGGGTCTCCTTAAGTTGCCAAGGTTGGTCTCCAACTTGCAGTCCTCCTGCCTCAGCAGACCCTGAGGAGTTGGAATTATACAGGCATTTTCCATTGTGACCAACTTTATGTTTTATCTATATTCTCATACAGAGCTTTTATATTTTAAGTAGTTCAGTCTATATTACTTTGGTTCATTCTTTCTAGTTTTTACATGAAGTTTAGGAACTTTCCTAATCCAATACTATTAAAAATATTCACTCATGGTCCCCCTAGTACTTTTGGCTTTCATTTAAATCTTTGAATATATACAAAATTTACTTATGAAGATGAAGGTTATTTAGCTTTATTTTTATTCTTAATGGTAAATATCAAGGACACCCCCCTCCAACAACATTTACATTGGATTATCTCTGATATAAAGATGCTAATCTATCATAAGTCAACTTATTGCTTTTCCAATTCTGGTGATGGATTTATAAAGTTCGGTCATACACTCTTATTTGTGATAGCTTACTGAATTAAAAATATAAAATATGGAAAGAATATGAAATATTGAAAGAAACTAAGAGTAGCTTTGTCACAAAATATCTAATCTTGCCCCCCAAAATTTATTTTGAACTATTCTCTGTAGTCTTAGAATATGACATAGTCTCGCATTATTACCAGAACAAAACCTATAAATTCTACTTCTTTATTCCATTGGTCCTATAACAGACTATTTCAATACTGAGGGCCTTCTTTTTCAGTACCTCCTTTCTTATAGCTCTTTATATATATATAAATACTGTATTTTCTTGATCTACTGTTATTGTTTTCAATCTTTCTTCTCCTTCAAATGTATTTTAAAAGTTTATTTTTTTATCTCCAACTGCCTGATTCCCTACTAGTCAGTACCTTAATAACAAAAGGTTCTAAAATAATAATTTTCTTGCTAGTGTAAAAAACAGACTTTTGCCTGCTCTCCTGTACCTTTACTATAGCATCTATTCTATTTAATACTTCTAATCCCGCTTTGAAACTCCCTCCTCTAAATATTCATTTCCTTAAGAAGTTTTCAAATAAAAAATCTTCCCACCATGAAACTCCAGTAAGGAAAACAATAAACAATAATTTTATTGTACACAATTATCTTCCTACCTTGATCAAACTGCTTTTGAATGTTGTCTTGATCAGTTTTGTTACCACTAACACGGTACAGTCCTTCAGTACATAACCCTAAAAGAATAAAGAAATATACATGTTTTCAGAAACACATAAGAATATACTTAATCTTATGAACTTAGTGACTTACCAAAACATGATGATAAAATATTTTTAAGAATAAAATATTTTGGGCTGGGGCTCAGCAGTTGCACAGCATGTGTGAGGCACTGCATTTGATTCTCAGCACCACATGTAAACAAATGTCCATTGACAACTAATAAAAAAAAAACAACTTCAAAAAAAATAAAATAATTTGAGCATTTTAAGTTTTTTTTTTTTTTTTTTTTTGAGAGAGAAAGAGAGAGAATTTTTTAATACCTATTTTTTAGTTTTTCGGCAGACAGAACATTTTTGTTTGTATGTGGTGCTGAGGATTGAACCCGGGCCGCACGCATGCCAGGTGAGCGTGCTACCACTTGAGCCACATCCCCACCGCATTTTAAGTTTTTAATGAACTGATTTCTATTTTAAATCATTCAGTACGTCCATTTCTGAACAAAATCAGTAGACAAAAAACTTTTCTCTATTCTTCCCAGTAATTGCAGCTTAAAACCCTGAACACAGTATGTTTGAAAAAAAAAAAAAAAAAAAGGATTCTTGCTGGGTGCAGAGGCACACACATAACCCAAACAACTCCGGTGGCTGAGGCAGAAGGATCGTAAATTCAAAGCCAGCCTCAGAAACTTAGAAAGGCCCTAAGCAACTTAGAGACCCGGTCTCAAATTTAAAAAAAGACTGGAGATAAAGTTCAGTGATAAAGTTCCTCTGGGTTCAATCCTCAGTACCCAAAACAAACAAACAAAAAATAACCCTCTTATAGTGGAGCAAAGGTGGAGTGACTTATGATCACAGAACTTTAACAGCGACATTACAGGAAGTTTCTACATTTTCTTTTCTTTTGGCAGGGTGGCCAAAGGGGCACTCAATCACTGAGCCACATCCCCAGCCCTTTTTTATATTTTATTTAGAGACAGGGTCTCACTGAGTTGCTTAGCACCTCACTTTTTCTGAGGCTGGTTTGGAACTCATGATCCTTCTGCCTCAGCCTCCCGAGCTGCTGAGATTACATATGTGTGCCACTGCACCTGGATGCATTTTCTTTATGCCTCTTATATGCCTTGGACAGGGCAACAGAGAGGCCAATAGCCCCAAAACACCAATGAGTACCAACAACAAACATCCTATCCCAAACTAAACAACAATAATAGAACAAAAAGCCACCAACAAGAAAAGCTTGTTCTCTTTTTAGATCTGGAAAGGTACAGGATAGCAAGACAAATATATTTTTGACATTAATGGTTCCATACTCAAGCCAAACAGCATGAAATGATTCTCTTTACCCTTGTCAATCAGTGGGGAGGCCTACTGGGAAGACTACAGACTTTCACCCTTGATCATTCATAACAAGGAGTTCTTTATCTTCCCTCAGTGTCAGTAGAGGATGAATGGAGAGCCTAAACTTCTACTAATACCCAGAGGTCATAGATACCCTATCTTCGCAAATGTGGTACTAATCAACGGATGCAAAGTGGGGACTTGGAAATTTTCAACAACACCTGGCAGGGAGGCCTCCTCTCCTGCTGGTTCTGCTAAAACACAAGATTTAAATAAGATCCAAAGTCCCACAATATCCAAAATGGCCAGAATATAATAATAATAATACAAAAATTACTTATCATACCCAAACCCAAGAAAAATTTCTATTATTCTACTATTATCTGACATGGATTTTAGGGTAAGCATTATAAAAATACTTGAATGAGGAATTATGAACACACTGGAAACATGAAAAAAAAAGTTTCAGTAACGAAACAGAAAATACAAAGAAGAACTAAATGGCAAGTTTAGAACAAAGATATTAACAGAAAAAAAAACTCACTGAATGGGCTTAATAGCAGGAGAGAGATGACAATGAAAAGAATAAATGAACTCGAAGATTAATCAGTACAGATTACCAATCTAAGTAACAGGAAGAAATAAGACTAAGAAAAATGAAAAGACTTCAGGAATGGGTAGAACAACAAATAATCTAGCATTTGTCAATGGCCAAAAGTGCGAATATAAAAGGGAAAGTGAGAATTAAAATGTACTTTGCAAATACATATACATTACTATGGTTTTGCTCAAGGCTATCCAGGAAAAAAAAAAACTTACACATTGGAATAAAGGGCCTGAAGCCTTAAACTTAACTGTCAACATATGTGTATACAGAAGAGAAGCAATGGAACAAAATAAAAATATATGGGAACTTCTTGTGTTAGCATTACAACTTTTCTATGAGCACAAAATTAGAGGATGTAAGTTACAAAAAAATGTTACTCGGCTTTATACTTAGTTCTTATGTGAGAACTGCTAGAAATCTAAACAATTTTATTAGTTTCAAACTGGGCAGTTCATTGATTCATTTATAAAAGAAATAAAAATTGGGCTGGTGATATGGCTCAGTTGGTAAAGTGCTTGCCTTGCATGCACAAGGCCCTAGGTTCAATCCCCAGCACCACCCCCGCAAAAAAAAGAAATAAAAATATGCTTATTTTTAACATACTTTGTTAATTATAGATAGAATAATGGTCAGTTTTGTGTCATCTTTTCTAGGCATAATATGCAGTTAGTCGATGAAACATTAATTAGATTTGGATATGAAGGTCTTTTATTGTGATCAACATTAAAAATCAGTTGAGATCATCACCAATAATATGGGTAAGACTGATTTAATCAATTAAAAAGCATTAAAAACAGAACTAAGGTTTCCTTGAGGAAGAACTTCAGCTGTGGATAAGAATATTAGTTCTTGCTTAAGAGTTTCCAGCCTGCATTTCCTGACCACTCATCTTCTGATTTTGGACTTAGCTAACCAGCATTGCATAATCACTTAAGCCAATTTCTTATAAAAGTGTCTCATGTTATCTCCTACTGATTATATCTCTAATAATTAAAAGAAAAAGAACAAGAAAAAAAATGGCTAATATTTTTATATGTTTCTGTTTCAGGCATTCTAATACCATACAGGAAATATTTTCTTTTAAGAGCATATAATTTCCCCAATGCCTATTGACTTAATGCCTAGCTCTTTTAAGGTCTAGTTCCAACACATTGTTTTCCTTCTACTCTTTCATTTACATAACCTAAGTGCTACCCCCAAACAACCTATAACTTTATTCTCTAGATAAAAATGTCTTGCCTTTGTGAATAAATTCTTTTATGAAGTTAATTCTTACTATTCCAAGTCTTCAGGACCCAGTTAACACATCCACCTCATTGACATGTTTCCTAATGCCAACTAGAAGCTATTTTTTCTTCCTTACATTCTGATAGCACTTTATTTATAACCCTTTACTACTTAGTACTTTCTGGATTGTATTATAATAGAACATTCTTCTACTCAGCAGTAAAGTATTAAAAGGAACAGCAGTGTCCTTTTCAGAGTCCTCTGGTTCATTCACAGAGCAGTGGTTTTCAGCTGGGTGACATCATACCTCAGGAAATACTTGGCGATGCCTAGAGATATTTTTGGTTGTCAAAACTGGAGGAGGGAGATACTATCATCTAGTAGGTAGAGGCCAGGGATGTTGCTAAACATCCCAGAAGGCACAAGACAAGCTCAAATGACACAGAATTAAATGGCCCCAAATACCAATAATGTCAACTTGAAGATTTTCTTACATAGTGATAAATAATTAGCAGTATTTGTTAAATAAATAGTATAAGGTGTTTAATCTCCATGTTAAACTCTTGCTTTCTACACACTTATAAAACTAAGTGGTTTGAAAAAACAAAAAAATACCAAATTATTTAGATATGAACTACTCAAGTTTTACTTGGACTTAAATCACCCAAAGTTTCTATCCTGGACAGCTAATCAATAAGGGGATCAACAATCTATCCCAATATACCAAAATTAAACATAAAAAAATTGAAAATTTATATTACCTTTAACCAAATATCACTGTAAAAATTCATTTGGAAAGGTCATTAACTAAGCTCATAAGTACAGTGTTAGAGATAACTGAAGATTTAAAATAGTTCAAGATGTGTCAATAATTCATATAGTAGACTAATATGTTCTTGGGGGGGGTAGCACCATCAGAAGTGGTAAAGGAAATTCCTAAGCCCAGTCCTTTCACAAAAATGATTTGTGAGTGGCCAAAAGATTCATAATTATCTTTTGCAGAACTCTAGAATTTAGTTAAAATAACCCAACAATCAGAGGAAGTCTTGGTGAAGAATGAAGTTTTAAAATTACTCATTTATCATCTTCCATACCCCAGAATAGTAACAACTATGAGTAGAGTGTAGGCTGTTAAGTGCCAGAGGGAGCAATAAGGATGTTATTCAGAAAGAACCTTGGTTGTGAATTTTAACATGTCTGGTGGCCTCAAGAGTAAAAGGACTTGCCTTTGTTTCAACCACAAGACTTAGAAAGTATTTTCATTTTTTTGGCTCCAGGCATTTAAAGAAACTATCAAAACATTAAACTAATGGAACACAGACTTCAGTGGCAACAAATAACAAAGAATTCAGACTTTACAACAGGAATTTTGAGAAGCTGCTGAACAAGCAAACAACCAACAAATAGCAAATAAATAAATAAATAAAAATAAAACAGTGAAGGGGAAAATCTGATTTCCAGAGTTGCCATATTATAAGGTTCAAAACAACTTATTTTTACCAAAAATTAGGAGGCATGCAAAGTATTGTCCATTGCAAGGAAAAAGAAGAAATTCATAAAATGTCCATTTGGAAGCACAACCATTACACTTACTGGACAAAGAATTTAAATTAATTGTTTTAAAAAATTCACAAAGGACTAAAGGAAACCCAGAGAACAATGATTCAATGAATAGAGAACATCAATAAATTTACAAATTATTAAAAAAAATTAAAAGTCTCCAAAAAGAAATTCTGGAGCTAAAAAGTACAATAAATGAAATGAAAAAGTCACTACAGAGATTCAACAGCATATTTGAGCAGGCAGAAGAAAGAATTAAAGATTGGTTAATTGTGAGATAATA